GGGGGGGATGTTGGTGAGCTCGAACTTGCCGAGGAGGTTGTTGTCCTTGGTCATGGAACGCTCACCCTCGAAGACCTGGATCAGGACGACGGGCTGGTTGTCGGCAGCAGTCGAGAAGATCTGGCTCTTGCGGGTAGGGATAGGAGTGTTGCGGGGAATGAGCTTAGTCATAACACCACCAGTGGTCTCAATACCAAGGGTGAGGGGGTTGACATCCATGAGAACAATGTCCTCAGTACCCTCCTCATTGGAGAGGACACCAGCCTGGACGGCAGCACCGAAAGCGACAGCCTCATCGGGGTTAATACCCTTGCTAGCCTTCTTGCCAGCAAAGAACTCTTCGAGAAGAGCCTGAACCTTGGGGATACGGGTGGAACCACCGACAAGGACGATATCGTCAATCTCCTCCTTCTTCAGCTTGGCGTCATCGAGAACCTGCTTGACGGGCTTGAGAGTGCGCTTGAAGAGGTCCATGTTGAGCTCCTCGAACTTGGCACGGGTAAGAGTCTCGGAGAAGTCGTTGCCCTCGAAGAAAGCCTCGATCTCGATACGGGTGGACATCTGCGAAGACAGAGTACGCTTGGCCTTCTCGGCCTCACGCTTGAGCTTACCCATGGCCTTGAGGTCCTTGGTGATGTCAACGCTGTTCTTCTTGTTGTAGGACTTGGCGAAGTGGTTGATGATGCGCTGGTCGAAATCCTCACCACCAAGGTGAGTGTCACCGGCAGTTGCCAAAACCTCGAAAACACCCTGGTCGATGGACAGCAGGGACACATCGAAGGTACCACCACCAAGATCGTAGACAATGATGTGGCGCTCTTGGTCAGTCTTGTCAAGACCGTAGGCAATGGCGGCCGCAGTGGGCTCGTTAACGATACGGAGGACGTTGAGACCGGCAATGATACCGGCGTCCTTGGTGGCCTGGCGCTGAGCGTCGTTGAAGTAGGCGGGAACGGTAACAACGGCGTGGGTGACCTTCTTGCCCAGGTAGGACTCGGCAACCTCCTTCATCTTGCCGAGAACGACGGCAGAGATTTCTTCGGGAGTGAAGGTCTTATCAGCACCGCTGACCTTGACCTCAACAACAGGCTTGTTGTCCTTGTTCTTGACGGTGAAGGGGAAGTGCTTGATGTCATTCTGGAGGTCCTTCTCGTTGTACTTGCGACCAATCAGACGCCTGTTGAGTGGAGAAAACAGCAGTTAGTTATGTGTTCTCGATAACCAGAAAACCGCCTGATTCTCAAATTCAGCAAATGTACTTACTTGATATCGTAGATGGTGTTGGTAGGGTTGGCCGCGGCTTGTTGCTTGGCGGCATCTCCGACTAATCTCTCCTCCTCGGTGAAGGCGACGTATGATGGGGTAATTCGGTTTCCTTGGTCGTTGACGAGAATCTCAACCTTGCCCTTTTGCATCACACCAACGCAAGAGTAGGTTGTGCCCAAATCCTGCAGGAAACAGCGAGATTAGCAGTTGTAAAGATGATGGTGAAATGGAAAATCTGCGAACAACAGATTTGGTGGAGCTTGGAAGTGTAACGTGAACGTGTTTACTTACAATACCAATAACAGTTCCATATTCTGAGACATCGTCGGCACGAGCAGACGAGGCGAAGAAGAGGGGAGCGCAGAAGAGCAGGCCGATCCAGGCGATCAAGCCAAAGCTCAAGGCCCACGAACTCTGAGATCGTCGAGCCATGGCGGCTGTGTGAAAAGTGTGAAGAGGCGAAAAGAAATCAATCAATTGGCAAACAAGCTGGGCTTGGGGAAAAGAGATGGAAGTAATAGAAAGAAGCAGATGTTCTAGACAGACACCACCGCTACAGGCAATGGATCGTCGTCGTCGTTAGTAGTCGTCGCGCAGTTAAGGCGGAAGTTTGTGAATGGGGAAAAAAGGAAGAGCAGAAGAGACAGCCGCAAGTGTAGAAAGATTTCTTATGTATGTTCCGCGCTTCAAGCTATGCCTCTCTCCTAAAGAACAGATAATTCATAAGGCCACATCACCAGCTAAACCCACCTAGCTCACTTTTTTGGGGGACCGCGATGCACGGGCCACAGTAGCTTGTTGCACCCCTGAATCCTTGTAGTTCTTTGTAACTCTAGAAGGCCAGTTTGCGCCATCGCCGCCGCCGAGGGATACTTTTCGAATACTCCGGAGGGAGGCAACAAGGTCCCCAGTCCCCTATGTAGGTGCTGGTAGTTTAGTCTAACAGTATGTATCAATTCACCTTGATATTCCATTCGCATCCATTATTTCTATCAAGCAATCAGCCCTGCAATTGCCAGCTTGCCTCTACCACATTGCCTGCCTGCAAGGAGTTGCACACTGTGTCCATAGTGGTGACTTGTCTAGGTACCGTACTTGCCACTTTTAAGCTTAATACCAGACTGCCAAGCGGTTTTTCTCGATTACTGCCTACTACTGCCTACTGGTGGCTTCGTCGAGGCTGGCTCAGACTATACGTGTACAAAAGAGCCTTGAGTCATTCTTGTGGTTTACCGCTCTGTCTGCTGCGTGTCATGTATACTATAGTACATTGCTGCTGACATACCACCGTCGCCGTAGTCGCCGCAGTGCCACCAAACCCCAAGTTCTTGTTTGGACGTTTTCTTTGTTCCTGGACTGAGCGCATGGATTGTTCGCGAGCTTTCCAAAGATCCACTCGTAGAAGTAAAGTACGTATACTACTACCGCGAGCTTATTATGGCAATGTAACATCGAAATACAGGCACATACATGGTGCGTTTGGGGCTCAAGGTGCAAAGATCTGTCCATTCCCCATCTCAAATATTGATTTACGCCAGATATGATATTTTCAATTGCCCACTCGCTCCTTGAGACGACATACTGGCATCATCCCCATATTACAGGCACACGTCGCTAAAAACGAACACTCTTTATTAGCTGTTCACATGCCTCTACACAACTCGTACTAACGTGAATGAGTCGGTCCCAGAAAAAATTCCCTTTGCCGTACTCCAATAGCCACTTTCGGGGGAAGCACCTTCTTGTCATGCGGGGACACCACCATTACAAACCCTGGCTTGTAGCCACATGTCCAGTACGTATCGTGGGACAAGAACATTGCGAGGTTAGCCAAAAATGTCGTCTCCGGACAAAGATGACCGAGATACTTCATGCAGCAAATTTCAGAGTGCAAATGATGATATCTGTGGACGGATAAATTCCACCTTAACACACTGGATCCACTGCGATACACTGGCTTTGGGTAATCGTGTCCAGTTTGAGCATATGCAGTTAGTGACTGCAACCAATGACTGTGGATTTTGCTGTCCTCAAGGTTTGCCGTAACGGAAGAGTGCCGTGAATGCCCTGCATCGGATCTGACAAAGAAGCCTATGGGGATTTCGATTTTATTTTAGCACGTGGCTTGTTCCTGGGAGAGCCTCAAGATGTGGCCACCAGACTTTATTGTGTCTCAGCCACATTGACCAAATTTATACCTTACCCAGCCATAATGCTTGGACACTGCCAGGACTGCTTACTCTATCTACCTATTTTCTTGTCAAGCCGGTAATACTCCGACTTTTCAAGTCTATCTACCATATGTACCACCAAACAATAGGGTTTGAATATTTGTAGCTTTCCCCAAACCCAGTATACTCTGTCATTGGGAATGTGTGAATCTAGCCTTCATTGAATGAGCATCTACACAGTAACAAATGGGCGCCATGAGTATTCAGCAGATACTTGTTGAAGTTGCCACGTACGACTATGAAGATAGCTGGAGTTTTAGGAATAAATGTACCTGACAGATATTCCTGCCATTGATATAATGACATCTAGTTGAATAGGACAAGTGTTTCTTCACAAATGAGCTTCATACTCTTCCATTGAAGCCAGGTAGAGAGACCTGCCATCAAAATGCTTATCTGCAATGTCGCCAATGAGCAATACTTTTAGCGCAATCGTGAGCACTAGTAATATGCTATAGTCGTTTACCAGTATACTATGCTGTGCAATAATATTTTTATACAGTACCTATATATACGTTAGGGTATGACGATATGTATGGCTCTTGTTTTTCTATCCAGATTTTGCTAAAACTGAGTTCTCAAGTATTGTTCACTGAACGAAAGATATCCTTCTGAGCCGATAACCCTGGATATTTAGCTCAAATCTTTGTTTAATTTCTTGTCCAACTCTAGAGTCTTTCTCCAGATGCAGAAGATGACAAGACAAGCGCATACTTATATACAAATCGCCTAAGCAGGATCGTACGAGATCTTCAGGGAATGGTGGACAAGTAGACAGATGTGCTCAGAAACAGTGGCGACTCTTTCTGGCGCGTTTTGCGGGCATCAAGATCTTGACGTATGGCAAATGCCAGTATGAGCACGTGCAGAGAGGAATCGAGGACCCTACTTGAGATACGGGATTTGAATCTAGTAAGAGTGTATTTGCCTGCTGAGAGAAGACATAACCACATTTTCTCTGTATTTTGAAGAACGACCATGGAGACAACTTGTCATAGGATGATAAGTCAGATTGATTCATTCATTCATTATGCCGCTGTAATAATTCAACCATGTTTATAAGATTTGACCCGGGTCGCACACAGGCACTAAAAAGGGGGTGCCCGGCGCGCTTTACCGCGAGTCAATGCGCTAAAAGGAAAGAAAATAAGGAAGGAGACCAAAAAAATTTATTTGCCAGAGGGTTCAGCATTGGAATTCTGTCCTTCTCACTTACATCTCAAATCGCCAACATGATTGCCATCGCTTTGCAACCCAAGCGGTGGCGCATGTTGGAGAAGTTCTTTATTTGTTACTTTTTTTCTGATATGCAGGTACGAGGCACTGCAGAGCCAAACACTATTCCTTTCCGAAGGCGCGTCCAATTCGTCTGACTGCCGCCACGAACGCGGAGGTTTCGGAGGTTTTCTGAAAGAGAGTGGGGTGCGATTGCTGTATGTCGCTTAGCCCGCAATAAGCAGAAACGATGCCAACGCCAATCAAAGAATTCGGTGGAATAACATCGTCCGCGTGGTGTAGTGGTTAGCACTATGTTCTTATATCCTTAAGATATTAGAGATATGCATGGGTCGCCAGTTCGATCCTGGCCGTGGACACTTTTTTGCATTTTCTCTTTTTTTGTAATTATACAGTAGATCTTTCATTTCTTACGTCTCGATGAAAAGAACAGTTGCCTCATCTTTGATTTTTTAGTCGTTGTGAACCATGTTATCCCATTGCAATCGTCTATAATCGTCCATATCTATACTGATGCTCCCTTCTCCCTTGTTCTTGTATCAAGTCCAAGACAGCTGCATCGGTTCCTCCAAAGTGCCACAGCTGCCCATCGACGCCAGATCGGTTATCATGTACACCGAGCAACTTGTACCTCTGGTATAATTTCAGTCTTCCAAGTGATCACTGGCCGGCGACCAAGCTCAGGTAGATGTTCCAGCCGACACCAGCCAAGCTACCCAGCAGGTTACGGCCAGTGATGCTCTTGACAAACGCAAAGTTGATGAAACTGACAAGGGGCCACAACTTCAAGCCGGCAAAGATCATGGGCCAGAACTCGGCGGCAATCTTGGCCTGGATGCTGTCCCAGTTGACGGGGCTGGTCTTGACGGCGCCGGTGGCGAGAGCGAGCAGGTAGTTGACGCTCTGGTCGGGGGTGCTGAGGGGCGCGCCGAGCGGGCGCGGCATGCCCTGCTGCACGCCGTGGATGAACAGGCTAAAGACGACCGTGTTGAAGGCGGCGCCGACCGTCTGGTCCAGCAGCATCTTCATGGCCGTGTTGCGCAGGTTGAGCTTGGGCTCCACCAGTTTGCCCTCTTGCTCCTCCTTCTCCAGCTCCTTATCATCGCCCTTGGAGGCCGACGCCACGGCCTCGGCGGTGGGCGCCGCGTGGTACGCCGGCCAAGTTGATTCCAGGAACTCTTGCCTGTGTTTTATCGTTAGCCATGCTCTCTTGGCAGGATGTTGTTGTACATAGGCAGCAAAGATTGATGTTGCTGAATCCTCTGCAAAATAAGCTTTGAGTGCCTACGTCATCGAGGCACGCAGCACAGTGATGCACATAATATTCTATCAAAATGGACATACCAGAGCACGTTTGGGTGTGTGTTCAGATAGTTGAAGACGAAGAACTGAAAGATTGGAACCCAATCAATGACGAGCGGTGTCTAAAGTGAAAGGCGTGTCAGCCATTTAAGTATTGAGCAGCACACGTGCATGCATCCATCCGAAACTTTCTCTCTGTGCATATTGATGTGGTCGGTAGCTATAAGTTCACATACCTCATGGCGAAACGAAGTGATGACCTGGGCCAACAAATTGGAGGTTGCGGCCAAGACAGCGGACTGTATAGACGCAACCTCAATGGGCGGAAGTTGGAAGACCATGATGGCAAAGGAAATCTGATGAGTAGTAGCTTCTTATGATCGACAACTTGTTCGAGTTACTAAAACAAGACCCTTGGTTATACGTAAGGACGTGATGCAGCTTTATGTCAAAAAGAACAGATCGCGCAGTGATATTTTTTGGTCCCGGTCAGCGTTGGCTAAGTAGAGCTGGTGTAAGAAGCGAGGTTTCGTTTCCCCCAAGCTTGAGTTTCGACACGCCCACCAAACCTGCGCTTGGGTGCTACTTTACCTTATTAGTTCATACCCTTGTAACGTAATGTAGCCCAAACTTGTGGTTGGCTCAAGGCGGCTTGTCCAATGGATGACGTGACCGACGTATTCTTTGGTTGAAAGTGGCCTTTTGTCCTTAACAGGAGGCCTGATTGACATGCACAAGATTGACAAATGTGACCCAGAGGCAAACAAGGGCCTGTCACAATGATGTACAATCAAAGAATGCATGTGCAACTTACTTGCGCCATGAATTCGTCAACGGTGGACAGCTTAGGAAGGTGTCTGGGCGGCAAGGCCAATCAATTCGGAATATGGCCACGCATGTGTATATCACAATATCATGCAGGACTGTATAGCAAAGTGCACACAGGTCCTAGAAAGACTTTTAAACATCAGAAAACTCGAGTAATTATAATTGACTTTTATTTCAATGTTTTTATACGTATTTTCGGCTTTTCTCTCTTCAGGTGTATTTCACTCTATCCGATCTTTGGCGCTTAGCCTGCATCCCAGTATCAAATACACAATAGTAATACCGTACATGACCATCTCCATTATTTTTAACCCAGAATCAGTTCTATTCATATACATCATCGTGGTCCCCAAACTCCATGCTCAAACCATATATATTCATGGTTATCGCGATCGATTGTATAAGCGAGACTATGGCCGGGTAAGGATCCACATGAGAAGGAACTGCACCAGGTAGGAATATCCGAAGAGGAACTGAGTACGCTGGTTGCGCTTCGTTCGTGACTCGGTCTGCATGCGAGGATCGCTAGAGTTCTCGGGAAGCAGGACGTATCTGAGAGATCGCATCTATAAAAAGTCAGAATCGCTCCGAGTCGCGCGACAAAGTTTCAAATGGAACTTACCAAGAACAGGGAGTTAGCCATGAAGGTGTAGATGAATACCGACCAACCAATCAGGCCGCCTGTGCCGTTGCCTCCATTGATAATCTGAGCAGTGGCCACTGTGACAATGACTCCGACAAACTTGTAGCCCGAATACGCCACAAGGTCGAGCAGCTGGGATCTTTCTGAGATGCTGAGGAAATAACAGCCGAGCCTCAAGAAGGCAATCTCAAGAACAACGACCAGTGCTGCCAAAGCCGCAGTCGCTCCGAGGAGTTGGGGGTCGAACTCGCCGCGAAGACCGGCCAGGAGCGTCGAAAGGAGGATATACGTGACAACAGCCATGACTAGTACCAAAATTAGAACCAGCTCCTCATCAATATCACCTGCTCAAACCTACCAGGGATGTACATGTCCGGGCTGTTAATGTCGTCTCTCGGGGGCAGGTACCAGCCTTCTTGACCGCTGGGACCGATAGCTTGCTTTCGCGACCATGGCTTGTGACGCCAAGGGAAGAGAACCAGGAACAGCTTGTTCACAACGTATGAATTGGAAACGTTGAAGTAATGCTTGAGCGAAGACATGCTAAACCAACGGTTGACCTGCTCGACTGGTTAGCTAGTGAACCATTTCTGCGCCTCCAAGTACAATATCCACTGACATTTTGCTCAAAGTATTCTTGGCCCTGCTTGAAGGCATTCTGGCCCATGGACGCGGCTATTTGCGCTGTGGGATCGTTCATGAAGTTGCCATACTGCCCAAAAGCATTCGCTCCGGTCGCTCCCTGGGGGCCGGGCTGACCCTGTTGATAGGGATTGCCATATGCCCCCTGTGTTTGCGGTTGCGACGAGGTCGGCGGCGGCGGGGACCTCAGTTGAGGCACTGTTGAGACGTGTTGAGGTACCGGGTGATGGAGCGGCGGCGAGGGGCCGTAGTTTTGGCGCTGCATCGTGACGGCGGCTTCGCGAGCAGCAATGGTGGGGAGAGTGTCAAGAGTCGTAGAGGAGATGCTGTGTATGTCGGTGAATCGTTGGTGGGTGTGGCGTCGAGTTGAGGAACGAAGCTCTAGCAAAGTGTGAAATAGAACTTGGTGATGTGTTTTGTTGGACTGGGAGGCTGCAGTGCAATCAGCGAGCTGTCCAATCCCCTGTGCGCTGGCGCTAGTGTAAGACTCGTGCCAGAGGCTCAGAGCTTCAGAGCTGCGCTACTACGGGAGCCAAGGTACGGACAAAAAAGCAGACTCCAAGCCTAGAATAATGAGCTTGGCGGCTCCCCGGCTGGCTGGTCACTGGTCAGTGCCCACTGGCCTGTAGCTAGGATCACACAGTCTGCGTAACGTAATGGTGTGCTGAAAGCCTGAAAGGTGGTACCTAAATCTGGACCCTCTACCCTCCACTGGCCAGACTTCCAGAATTGAGGGACCCCCGAGTCGGAATGCGCAACAACGGACATCCCGGATTATAGCTATCGCCCCCCAGTAACTACGTACCTGCCTCCGATAACGTCGTTGGGGCCTGGACTGGTGCTCCTTTCTGAACAGATCTACAAGAGAGAAGTTCGTTCTCCTGATTTGTGGGAAAGGAAAAGAGTTGCTACCTTGCTGTACACTTCTTTCTACACAGCTCTGAGAGCTGACTACCTCGAAACCGAATCTTTTTACGGCCACCTGCTGCTGGCTTCTCGGCTGAAATGTTGGACACATTCGAGATTTTGACCACCTCTGGGGTCGTGCTCTGGTCGCGGTCCTATGGCGACGTCAACCCCTCCATAATCAACAATTTCATTACCGATGTGTTTATTGAAGAGAAGGGCGCTGTCGCTGGGGCCAAGGATGATCTCCCAACAGCCAGTAATCCTCCCTACAAGGCAGACCAACACACATTAAAATGGACATTGTCCAAGGAAATCGGTGTCATATTCGTCGTAAGTGCTCCTTGTCGCATCCACTCTTTCGATCATGAGCGCTCCTTGTTAACCCAACATTCCGCAGGCTGTATATCGATCGCTCCTACACTTGTCTTGGGTTGACAAGCTCGTCGATAATCTCAAGACTATTTTCGTAGACCTCTACGGCGATGAGCTCAAGAAACCGAACACTACTCTTGTTCATTGCCACAAGTTCGACGAATACTTTGACCAACAGATGCGACAGCTCGAGTCTAGCTCAACATTGAAGAATGGCCAAATAGCTGCAGGTGCGCTCACTTCAGAGGATGAGAGCGTCTCTGGTCATGTGGGCGATGAGCCGCCACTTCCTCCTGGCATCAAACATCGAACCCGAGCCCAAGATACAGCGCAACCAATCGACTCATCTCCCGCCGTAACTCCGTCGAATTCTCGACCATCCACCCCGGGCACTAGCCACCTGGTTGTGGGAAAGGGGGGCCCGTTGGGGAAAATGTCGCGAAGGGCGAAGAAGATGCAGAACAACTCTGCTCCCGCATCATCCGGCGACGAGGGCCCAACTAGGAAAGCCAAGAAGGCGCCAAAGAAGGGTCGCAGGTGGAATGCCGACGGATTTGCCAGCGAGGAGGATGATGTGCAACTGGACTACTCTGCCACAACGAACGGGCTAGCAAGTGAGAGCGAGGCTGAAGGACGGTCTTCCGCGATAGAAGGCATTGACTC